ATGCCGATGGAAAAGAACACTTCTCTTCTTTAAGCGCATAGGTCTTCAAATGCGGTCGTGCATAATAAGGTAAAGTTTTTTTTAATATTACCTCCTCCTCGGCTGGACTGATCGCAGTACACGTCGAACACTTGGGAATTGTTAAAAAAAACTTTGTAGACACCATTGTCTGTGAAGCCAGCCTCCAGCAGCTCCGCGCAGCTCTTGGCCGCTAAAATAAAAAGTTGAGAAGACACAAATTTGCTAAGATAAATTCTCTTTCTGGGCACGAAGTTCCTCTTAATATCTGTGGAATAGTAATACCTCTTTTTTGTCATTCTCTTTCGTCCCGTCAGAAAACAGAATAAAGTTGTAGCTCCTTTTTAAAGAGGACTCCTAGTCTTAAGATCTGGATTCGAACCCATGTGGTAACAGATATAACACTTTTCTCCAATGGCCCCCTCTCCCCGTCTAGGAGAATAAATGCTCACCAGCAACTTTGAAGCAGCGATGTAAGGATGGAGTAAATATCTTATTTTTATTCCGCTTTATTCGAGCCATCTTCTCAGCAACATTTGCTTCATCTGAAATATTCAGGCATACTTACACTTCTCACATTGCTTCCCAAAGAAACCTGGTGGGCAGGCGCATTTGAAGTCGTATACTATCTCCACTGGGTGACAGGTCCCTCCATTCTCGCACGGATTGAGCTCGCACGGGGCCTGGAGAGAAACAAAAATCTGACTTAGGTGAGGGTGACGGAAGTCTGGGTTCCCAAGGGCTCAGAGTTGTTGTGGTATCCTCACAAAGCTAGGCAAGCGGAAGGCGAAACAGGTTCGGGAACTCTGAAATGTCGTAACATCGTGCTGATTTCTCGTGGCCGATAGCAGTCACTGAGGTCGATTTTCCTGTTCGACAATACATCGATCTACCGGCGAGATATCGATTCTTTGCAACAAAGGCAGTGACTTTCTTTTCTGAATACAGCTATTTATTTTTTTTGACAAATAATTGGAAAAAAGGAGAAGGCCAAATACAAGACATGAGGCAAATTATAAATTATACATTATTTGCAGTTTAGGAAGAAAATGCGATTCATGAGTCAACAAATTGTGCAAATATCGCTGTAATGAAAAATAATGAAACCTGCTAAAAACGGGGCCGTTGAGTAATTACAAAATTCAGCAGCTAAAACAAAATTTTCCCTTTTTCGCCATCACAAATGTCAATTTATTTTGATGCATTTATAACTAGATTTGCAGTCAGCATTCTTCACTCTGTTCACGTTTTATCATAATGTCAAATGGAAGAAAGACAGCTTTCTCAAAATAACATAAATAATTAATCAAATCCGAACGAAACGTGTTACACATATGGCGTTGGTCTAACGTTAGAGAAATGATATTGTTAAAAAAAACTTAACCGAAAAATCTCGCGTCCATAAAGATATTAACTCGAAGTTTGTTATCTATGTCTTGCACAAATGCGAACTGGGCTGGTTTATAGGAAGAACCTCGGAGCGTATACGTAAATTGCGCAATTTTTTTTTTCGGTTTCCTAAAATTTTAATTCAGGGTGCATTTCATTTTAAAAAGTAGGTTTATTCAAGTTTGAAGAAAAACTAAAAATAATTATATAGTAGCAGATGAATTATACAATTTTTCCAAAAAAATAGATAGAGATCCTTTCTAACAAAACTACATGCTGTCTTTATCGATAGCACAACGGACATGCACACACAAAAGTATTTACAAAAGGATTTTTTTTTATCAAAATACTCACCGTCACGCTGAAGTGATGAAAATCCAAAGTTGCACCAAATAGCTTCAACGACTTAAATTTGTCAGTATCTAAGAGGTTACAGAGAAATTTTCCACGTACTTTAGAACCTTTGAAATTCAACGACCGACATCGAGGGTTCTCTGTACAAGCTTGAAGACAGTCTTGTTCTCCATAAACGAAGAGAGATTCAAATGGTGTAGCGTTCAGTAGATAATTAGGAAACGAGAAAAGATTGGCGAAGCTTAAAATTCCGTTAGAAACATCGACAGAGCTTTTGTAATCGGTAAATATTGCTTCTTTAAACTGAAAGAAGAAAATAGAAGCAAAAATTGTGCAATACAGCTTAAAGGTCATGTTTTTGCAGTTGCAGTTGAGTTGTTCGATTCAGACAGATGAAATTGGACTGTTCAGTGTAATCTCAGCCAAGAACATTAATTAAATTACCATGGTAACAAAGATTGTTTATAATTAAGCATAAGGATAATTTTTACCGTGTTTACAAACCTAAATGAAAACTTAAACGAGGTCGAGAGCCATACAGACAGTAATGAAACCCCGACACGCTGTTAGAGGATTGCAAAATTTTTCGAGAATTCTCCAAGACCTTCGAGAGTTTACAGAAGGCTTTGTGAAGGCAGGAAAATGCTTTCGTGACTTTCTAAAATATTTCTCAGTAAGACACACGACTTAAACACCACATTGTGTAAACACATTCTCATCCAAACACACTTATCGACCAATGAAAGCGCGCATAATATCTTAAATATTTCATAAAAATACTTGAGTGTTATGTTAATACTTATTAGCATATAGCGGGTTATAGCGGTATCGATTCTTTGCAACCAAGGCAGTGACTTTCTTTTCTGAATACAGATAGCGGGTTTTTAGCCAATTTTGAGTCAGTTGTTAATGATATAAGAAGCTCCCATTAACTGAGAGTAGGTGAACGAGTGGTGATGATTCTCACGCAATTCGCGTGGGTCGCACAGCATCCGCAAGTTTTACATTCGTTGTAGTTATTAATGATTTTGACTACTTTTGCTCATGTTTGTACAGGTAATCACATGATTTCGAGTGCAATTCGTGATGAAAAGTATGTCAGCTAATTTACATCACTAATTGCTGATATTTATCATCTGAATAAAAATCAATGGACCAAAACATTTGACCTAATAAGCTGTTTTTCTAAGTAAGGTGTGAGGCCTATTTGTAACTATTGTCATGAGGTGGTATATTGTTATTAAATTCACTAAAGGCAGTTTGACAGTTTTACAATTAAGTATATTAGTTGTTTATTATCACCTGTTTCACCTCCGTGCGAGTTTGTCTTAGCATTAGTTTTAACTGAGACATCCTCTGAATACCAAAATATCAAACTAGCACCATTATTTTTTCCGTACGCATTTCAAAACTTCACGTGAACAGGAGGTCGTTTGTAGTTGTTATGTTCTTGTTGCTCTTCAACTGAAACGCCATATGGCAATATGTAAATTTGCCAAATTACCAAACATCAACGGTGTAAGTTCCTTTTGTAACCTATCACTTAGATTATGTGCTTGAGAATTCTATCGCGTAATATTTGATATAAAGTTGGTAAGGGCGAACCATACGTAGAGATCGAGAGCGGGTTATTAAACTGTCTTGATATAAATATATCAGCCGTCCAAGTAATAACAACGAAACAGGCTCTAAGTTAGACACAAAGTCAGACTATTCTCTTCATCCACTATTAAGGATAAGAGAGCCAATCAGACTGAAGAATTTGTGATGGAACACTGATATTCATCAGTTTACAGTTTTCCCTTCTCACCCCACCCCCACCCTAACTTATCTCATTTTCCCGCGAGTTCTATTGTTGTCAGCGGTCTACTTGATTTCGATCATGTGATCAATGCCCGCCAAAATAGAATCGAGCTCCGAAAGGAAAACTTGTGACTTAAAACATGCACCTCACTCAATTAAATGACGGCACTTTCGAAGGGGATTCAAAAATTTAAT